TTTTCAGATGTTTTTGAAGAAGTCAAGTGAAGTACTATTTCTCAAAAATAAATAAAGGAACCCCTCTAAGTCAATTCTGACCTTTTGTAAGTTGAAGTAGATTTTTTAGTCCAAGAAGTAAAAAGTATCTGAAATAATCTATAAGCATGTCTGTCCATTTTGTCATTTATTTCCATTCTTACCATTTTCCTATTAAAATACAAGTGAGTCAAAATTGTAGTAGATATATGTATGTAAATGAGGGCTTGATTCTAGCCGTGTCTCAGAAAGGTATAGTAGTAGACGCTTCGGAATTATGTAGATAGATATGATTGTGTGCTATATTTTCTTTTTCAAAGTTTAAAGTCATTGAATGCAGTTACATTATGAATAGCCTTACAATAGAGATATCATCTTGATCTTATTGTTAATTTATTAATCTATCATAATGAATATTTGTTGATATATTCACATTTTCTGGTTGACAATATATTTTTGCATTTGTGAGATATATATTTATCTGTATATCTTGTCAGTATGATGTATATAATTATTTGAGAGATTTAAGCGAGAGCTTTCCCATGTGATTTCTGTATGTTATGTAATCTGTGCACGTATAAAAAGTGAACTTATATTTCCAAGGAAACAGAAAATGATATCAAGCTAGTGTTAGATGATACATGTACATTCATTTTGGTGGTAAATAATTATGTTGGGTCAGCAGCTCACTCATATGGGTAATCCCATAAATTAGGGACCCCCTATGGAACAATTTTGGTGTCCATGGTACATAAGGAACCCACACGTATTTACTATTTGTGGCTCTGAGTAAAGACTTAAATAGTGGAATGAGATTGTAAAGTGTACCTAGTGAAGTGATTTCCAAGCATAATATTGCATCCTCATACCTAGAATCACTCAACAACCATACTCCACTATTTAAGTCTTTACTCAGAGCCACAAATATGTGTGGGATCCTTATGTAATGGGGACACCAACAAATCACAAAGTGGGTCCCTAATTCATGGAATACCTCATATAATTATGTGACATTGTCTGAAAAATGTATAGAATGTGCATGGATATAGTGTCAATGTAGGGTCTGAACTATTTGTGCCCTAGACTACCCATGAACATTCATGTAATCTGTTCCTTTCAGCTTGTATCTGGAAAAATTAGGTTAGGTTCCAGGCATTGAGTACTTAAGTTCCCAAATAGAGTCTATGACTGCAGGCTTGCATCAAATCTATACCAAATATATGTTAAAGACATGATAAATAGTTTTTCTGTTACAAAAGTTGGGTAAAATATGAATCAACTTAATATCCAAATCTGTCATACTGATGGTGAACAATCATCAAAATAGCAATATGTATGTAAGTGGCAAATCATGCAGGATGCTGATTATAGCTGCTCTTCTTCTCCTTTAGAAGTCTCAAAATAGTTTTATTCCGGCAATTGCATTTCTCATCATTATTAATCTACTTGTTATATTTTTCTTCAGCAAAGATTACTTCAATTGTGTATCTATGTCTGTATCTATCTCTGTTTTCACATCTTTAAATCAAAGGCTAACAACCATGTTAAGTTATCAGTTTCTCAAAGAACATACCACACTATTGTGTTTTTATTTTATTATAGCTAATTTTTTTTGTAATGCTTTTTTTACCGCTGGTGAAGAGAAATATATCTGGTACTCTTTTTAACACATGAGTACTTGATACTTGACATCTTATGATGGTTATATTTAGGTTGCTTGATCCTTCTATTTAGGCTTCCTAAAAATTCTAGGCATTTTGTCACTTCTAGAAAAGAAAAAAAAGTCTGCAAAGGAAAGTTAATGTGCAGATTTATTTTTTGAAGATTTGTCAATTGAATGTAAATGTTTATTATTGTTTGTGTGCAATTTTTAAGGAGTCAATAAAAATTGAAGAAAGAAAATAAATAATTATGATTTATCATTATTTTATTCATGTATTTCATTTGCATACATTAATATTAAGATAAACTTTTGTAAATTTACACCCAAAGAAAACTATGTATCTCCCACACACATGATGGTTCAAATATATTGCAATTACTCAAATCACATGAATAGAAAAGGAAGAGAGAGATATATATGTATGTACTTGTACAATATACCGTATATAATATATAATAATATGTCTGTAAAGCAATAAATGACATTGCTGATGTATTAAGCACTTAAGGCAGAATATTATTATAATATAGTTTGAGAAGAGGTATTCTTGAAACACTTTACATTTAAATAACAAACAAACAAACAATCGTAAAGGCTAAGAATAAACAAAATTGCCAGGGAGTAAACAGATACGTTGGAGGAAGAGCTACATATTATGTATACATCTATTACAGCCTCTCTAAAGTGTTGGGAGCCCCCAAAATTTGACGGCAAAATTTCACAAAAATTGTATAATGATGTGAAAGAGGATGTCATTTAACACACTTCTGCAAGGTTTTTCAAAACAAATGCGTTTTTGAAAAAAAATATTGATGAAAGAATACAAAACTGTGGTTTTCTGCATACAACACAAAACCTACATATGGTATTCTTTCACTGATCAATACTCATCTTCAAACACATTTGAAGGTTCCCAACACTTTATAGGGGCTTTAACAAATTGTTAACATAGCCATTAACTGTTAATAATATTTTCCGTAACCAAAAAAAAGTTGTTGGATTTCAATATCTTGTTGATACATAGCACAACACAAAGCCCTGATATAAAGTTAGGTTTCTTTGAGAGTGGAGAAATCATTTCAATTCAATTCATCTCTTTTTGGAGTGCATCAATTTCAGCAGTAGATCATATGTACCGGTATGCAGACATTTAGAACTTGCCATTCCAGAGATTAATTAGGGTGTTGTTTTCATGTTTAAAACTTTAACTTGGTTCATTACTTATTAAAATGGGCGATGATACACTTTCAGTCAACAATCAGACCTCAAGAAGATGACTAGCTCTGCATATTCAGGGAGGTGAAATTAAAATAACTAAGAGTTTAACATCATAAACTGTCATGTTTAAAAGCAATGAACCACATATGCCACAATCCTTAATCACCATGATCAAACATTTCTGTACAGCCTTGCAATATTAAATTCACAGTTGTGACTGTACAATGTATCACTATAAACTGGTATATCCATTTCCACAATTGTTTTTTTTAATAAAAAAAACACCACCACTGATAGTTTGATATAATATCCAATTTCCTGTGCAGGTATTCAATATCTCTATAAAGAGTCTATATTGCAATTGATATTGACACTCCAGACACTTCATAACAATACATGACACAGATCTGCACATTTCAGTCATTCACCAGTGTTCCCAATCATTCACTTGTGTTAATTTTCAATTTGCCTGTAATCATATCATATATCACAAGACTCGGTGAAGTACAAAGTGCTGTTACTCATCCAGAACCTCTGAATAAGAGTAAGGTTCCAATCGATATCAATCTCATCTGTCTTCCAACTCGCTTTTCTCACTATCGGTCATCAAATCAAGAACTTCATTGGTCAAAGTATATCTCTTTCCCATCCAGGTGAAGTGTGTCGGAGGAGAATACTCTCCCTTCTCACCAAACTCAAGGCACGTACTGATGTCTATAGCGATACTTGATTTGATCAGTCCAACCCCTCCAGTTTTACGTGGTGCTGGATGGTAGATGCGGCCGCTGATGGGGAGCATACAAACTTTCTCTGGTTCAAACTTAACGGTTACAGCATCTCCTGTGAAGTTGCATGAGAGAAGCCCTGGTCCTGTAGGCTCATCTGGATCTGGGATGATGTGTGTGAAGACGATTGGACGGTCATCACACCTCACAAAGTTTCTCTCTACACCACAGGGAGACAGGTAGGGGAAGGAATCCTTGTAATGCTCAAAAGAGTTCTGTTTGAGACGCCTGAAGAAGAATGCCAAGAACTTTTTGTCTGCAAAACAAAATGAAAGAATACTATCGATTGTATTTAGGGATGTGCCTTTTTACTTATCATCAGAATCGTAATTCACCCGAACAGTTTCCAACACATCTTTGATCAAAAGTCCCATATCAGTCTCCTCTCTCTCTCTCTCTCTTTTCTTCTTCTTCTTTTCCCCCTCCATATTCTCCTCCTCCTCCTCCTCCTCCTCCTCCTCCTCCTTCTTCTTCTCCTCCTCTTCCTTTTCCTCCTCCTTCTTATTTTCCTCCTCCTTCTTATTTTCCTCCTCCTTCTTCTTCTTTTTCTTCTTCTTCTAGATTCTCCATCTCCTTCTCCTTTTCCTCCTCCTCTTTTTCCTCCTCCTCCTCCATCATCATCATCATCATCATCATCATTAAGAAGAGCAGAATCTACAAACAAACTCCAAAGGCAAAGCATAAATAAAATGAATGAAGGAATGATAATTATTAGGCTACGAACCTTTAAAACATGTTATGAAGTTTTTAACTCTGGCATCATCGAGGAAGAGCTGGCCCTGGTGATCAATAAAATAGAAATATTCTCGAATTTTGGGTTCGGGTGATTGGCCCTGCTCGTACTGCGCTGGAGAGCGGTTGAGCACTGTCCCTTTCGCCGAGTCTGCAGGCGAAGATGTTGAGCAATTTCTGCTGGCACTGGCTACAAAGCAATCACCTTTCGCGTCCAGTTTAGAGCTAAGATTCCAACAATTTTCTCGGAAAGGTGAACATGGTCGTAACTGATTCAATGAACCAAACGGCCTGCTAATATTTCGGAGGATAAGCATTTTAGGTCGGTTTATTTCGAGTGAAAACCAAGACCAGTAATTATGACTGTAGCAGAATGGGTGTGTTGCATAACAATTAAGTTATTGTAGTCTTTGATGCTGACCTGGGAACACTCTTAGTTATTAAAAAAAAGTCAAATCATTAGGATTTTATATATCATTTCTGATAAATCTCACAAAATTGGTGTGAAATGAAGCTTATAGATGACGAATATAGTGTTGTTACATGTCAAGAAGTATAATCATAGGGTTTTAGAATTATGAGACTGAGGTGAATAGACTATCTTTACAGAATATCAAAATGAACCAAGAAGTTTGATTGGTTGACATCTACCACAATACAACATAAGGAAAGAACACATGAAAACATTTAATGAACTGCAACAAATATGATTTCTTTAAGATATTTTCGTACGATATATTTGAATTTGTTATTCAAAACTTCGATAGATATGAATTGGAGGAAAAACATATCTTTTATATCTCAATAAATGTGTGAGATCTTAAAAATTCATCGCTAGCAGACGACAAATTGTATTGTACAGTTATATTCGGTTCCGGGTAGCTTTGGGTGCATTTTGTCCAATGAACGACGTCGTCTGAGTACATAGAAGACCCAACTAATTGCGGATATTGCGGGAAGAGATGGCGCTCGTCATTTGGCCATGAGATGAACCATTATTTTACAGCAAGAGTATTGTTTACAAAATTAGCTGGATTCATCGAAATTATGTACTGTCAGGTTTCAGTTGTAATATTTGACCTATAATTCGTGAATTTCATATCTAAACTACTTCACAAATCCACAACAGGACTGCGTGTGCGACCGTCTAGTGATAGAGCTCCCTTCTCGATCACCCGATCCCGTTACCCAGCGAGAGGCGCGCTTGTCAACCGCACACTGCACTTTGCAGCCTCGCCTCGCCTCGAAACCTAGAACTCGTAGAAGCTGAAGTTGACTGTATCACTGCACTGCTGTGTACTGAGCTGAGAACAGGAAAGGAGGGTTGAATTTTTGTCAAACATGGCAACAAAAAGAGCATGGAAGCTACGTAAGTTATCTGTTTTGTTGTTGAGAGGGATCTTGAAAAGCTGTAACTGTGAGCCAACTGCATTTAGGTCTAGACTATTTCAAAGAAATGTTGAAATGCCAAATCAAATGGAAATGAATGAATGAGCCTGGCCTGATGAATGAATGTGGAAGTGAAGCAATAAATGATTTACAGAATTAATTAATCATCTAAGTATCAGCTCGTGTTTTGATAAATATATGTTACTAGGTCTATTTTCATTCAATAAATAAACTGGCTGCTACACGAGTCATATTATCAATCATAATAATCATCATTTGCACCCCTTTTTTTTTTTTACAGCTGGCTTATTTAAATACGGTTGTATGTATGGGACAAAGCCAAAGCATTTATTATATACTTCCCAGTCTGTTCATCTGGAAATAGTCACTATCTGTAGTCTGATCCATAATTTAGTAGATATTAGATAGTTCCATTCTGTGTACTTAGTCTACACTGTAGTTAATGTGAGAATAAACATTGTTAATTCTAAAGCCAAGGCAGAAATACCTAGAAAAAAATCCTTAGAGATGTAACTTTGAATACCCACAGTTTTTAATGAGTGACTGAATTGACTTCACATGATCATAGGTCTATTTGCTATCTTAAAACCTCAAGCTTTTTTAACATAACTTTGTTAATGTTAGTCTCTCAAGAAAAGTTAATACCGGTAATACAAATTTAATGTTGTAATTATTTTGCGAGAAAGCGGCGAGATGAAGCATTTATAGATCTTGGCCGTTCACAAATTTTCGGACTTAATGGCGATAGGGTTTATGTATGCGTGTGATTGAAGGGTTACGGCAAAGTTTAGTGTAAGGTTTAGGATTAGACTTAAAATAAGCAACAACAAAAATGACTCTTGATTTTGGCTTTTTAGCTTCATTGCATTGGTGAAGTGTTGTTCAACCAATGGACGTCTGGTCAATTTTTGTGGTGGGGTTTTCTAAAGTTGTTCCAATTTGTCAACATTTCATGCACATTCTTGAAAGTTTCTAGTTTTATTGAATCTGATTGTTCTGTTGACTATCTAAAGCAGTTTCTTATCTAGAAGATGTTACCTTGTTATTCTTTTGAACAGAGGAGCTGGTTGCCCATAGCAGCAATGTGAATTGTCTAGCCCTAGGGCCCAAGAGCGGTCGAGTGATGGTGACCGGTGGTGAAGACAAGAAGGTCAATCTCTGGGCAGTGGGCAAACAGAACTGTATCATTGTAAGTATCATCACCAGGAACCCATTTCACAAAGCCTTTTGTCAATGACAAATGACAAAAATCATTGACAAATCTGATGATAACCAATCAGAAGCAAGGATTTCAGTAGCTTATAACAAAAACTGTCATTTGTCACTGATGACAAGCTTTGTGAAATAGGGCCCAGAATTGCTATGAGTGAGGATTTAAAGTCAAAGCTTTACTTGATGATGAATAATGTTTTTTCATGTTTATTGCCAAAGGACATCAATGTGTACAAAAGTAGAGGCATACTGTACACCCATATTTTACTTCACTTTTAATATTAAACCAATGATGTGTCTTTTGTCAAGCATTCACTAAAGAAATCAAAGTCCAGTTTTTCGCTGACTCAAAATGTAAAGCCTGTAAAGCCCTGTGTTTTCTGGCTTTTGTATTTATGTCTGTTGTATATTTAAGCTCTTCAAAATAACTTTTTGTTTTCATACAGAGTTTGTCAGGTCACACATCACCTGTGGACAGTGTGAAATTCAACAGCAGTGAGGAATTAGTGGTCGCTGGTTCTCAGTCTGGTACAATGAAGATATATGATTTGGAACCAGCAAAAAGTAAGTTATTGCCATATCAATTTCGTGTACAACACTGGTGCAGTTAATTTTTGCATTCTTCCATCATCATTGGAAAGATTTTGAGCACTTTCTCCACCAACCCATACATATAGGAGAGGGCTTCAATTTGTAGGTTCAGTTCTGAGTTTTTTGAGAATCAAATGATTTCAGAAAGATAATTATTTACATAGTCTGATTGTTACAGTTCAAAGATGGGGATTTTTTTTTTTAAATCAAAGAGGATAGGCAAAATGATGCATCATAAAGATATATGATCTCCAATGTCATTACAGGTTTCACACATATAAATTTATATGATATCAAAGTCTCATCTTGCCTAACATTAAATATTACCAAGTTCTATGACATGCCTTCAGAGATAAGAGTGCGTGCTTGTTAGTACATGTATTAGCCATGTTGCACATGAATGAGTATTTATTTATACAGTATTGATTCTTCAAGTTTGCTTACAAGTAAATTGTAACACATGATCAGAATGATTAATGTTTTTATCAGTGGATGTGTACACTTCATACATGTTTGTTCATGTAGGTCATAATTAATTTTACAGCTTTTAAACGTGGCTTTTGGCCAATTCCATGGTTAGTAACGTTACATTTTAAGAGAAATTTTGAGCTTATGGCCCCATTAGTAAGAAAACTTGTGTACATGTATGCTCAAATGCTATTATAAACCCAATGGTAGTTCTTGTGTATAGACCTTTGACTTGGGAGAAAATATTATAATTTGGGCTCTGCTTGGAGCTACAGTGGTGACTCAAATTTTGTTTTGTAAGGTTTAATACAAAGAAAAGGACATGTTGAATTGAAGCCATTTAAGGGTCATCTTTGATTGGACATTGTATGCCTAATAGGCAAATTTAGATGAAACAATATTTCTTCAGTTACATTCTAGGCTTTATCCTTTGTTTTGGTATGAAAGAGCTACCTGTATCTCTTTGATTTTAAATGACACTTAAACAAATGTGGGTTTAATAGTAATGCTTCAGTTAGTAACGTTACACCTTGGAAAATCATGAAACAACAGGGTTTTGACACCCCTTTACCAAGCTTTTTGCCAAGCTCTTCTGTAGTTTATAATGTAATTCATTAACTTTGAGCATTTTAATCCAAAATACAATTTCAAAATATGCTAAAAGTAAGATTTTAATATTGTCTGTTATGTCTCATAATGCATGGAATTGTTTAATTGGTGGCTTGTTTAGTAGAGAGTAACACACTCAAACCTTTCTCATTTTATCCTCTTTAGTTGTAAGAACACTGACTGGTCACAGAAATAGCATTAGATGCATGGACTTTCATCCATATGGGGAGTTTGTGGCTTCAGGCTCAACAGATACAAATGTGAAGGTAAGCATTGGATAAAGGCTACTTGTCAATTATTAAAGGACAAGTATAATGTTGATTACAAAAAAGACAATGATAACTCCTCTTACATGATCTTAAATGTTAATGCCTTGAGAGCAAATTGAAAAACAGTTTTGAGAATTACAGGTAATGAAGTGTCCAGAAGCAGGACTAAAACATGATGGTTACGAGCTTTTACTCTATTTAGATATGCTTGGCTTAGTTTAGCGATATATATATAAAGTAGGCATACTGCTTTCTATTATTTGGGATTAATATGTGTGTACAGTGTAGCTGTCCATATAATTCAGACCTGCCAACCAGTACGATTTAGTCGTATTTAGTACGATTTTAAGAAGCAAATACGACAGTACGATTTCCTCAATAAAATACGATTTTCAACCAAAAAAATAAATTTAATCTTTTTTTTTTTTTTTTTTTAAATAGTATTTTGTGTGTGTGTGTGCCATTTTCAATGGTAAAATGCCAATTCTGTCCTGTAAAGTATCCTACAAGCATCTCACATAGGCAATTTGGGGATGTTCATTGGTTCATCAAACACACCTGTTGTGACGAAATCATGCATATTCAACCAATGATCCTTAAAAAAATTTCTCCCTGTATGTAGGGACTCATACATGCCAACTGTTCAGATTAAAGAGGAACATTCCTCTTTTTGGGAGAAGATAATTATCATTTTAATGCAGGTGTTCCTCTTCCTGTACAAAGTTGTCTGTAGTATTGAATAGGAGAGTTAGGATTGTTCCTCTTTTTTTTGAAAATAGCATAATTTGTACAGATTTCTGATTTTCAAATGTTGGCATGTATGGGGACTGTACGAGGCATTGATCTGCGTAACAGTCTGTGTTTATTTTTAAGAATACAACTTTTGTCAGTAAAATACAACTTTTGGGATTAAAGAATACAGTTTTTGAACTCCAGAGGTTGGCAGGTCTGATAATTGTAGGCTTACTTAGTAAGGGAAATTTCTAGATGAAAATTAAAAAGAAATTTCTTGTTTCTTTTTGCTTCATGGATACCATAACTGGGGCAAAACTGGCAACAATAGTCAAATTACTGACTAATCGCCAATAAGCTAAAACACAACAACAAAACAATATAGCTGCCATGATGCTTTCATCATCTTTTTAGATGTGTTATGTGTGTACCTGAATGGTCAAATACACACAGCTCCAAAGAGAGACACTGAGGGCTGTGTGTGATAGATAGAATGAAAGCTTTCATTTGAAGATCGACTTATTGCGCCATATGATATCATGCCATGATTGCCATCAATCAATTCTTGAATTAAACCTTGAACCTGAGGTAACAGCAAGCATCATACTGGTAATCATCATGTGTGCGTTAAATATGGTGTTATTTGTATAATGTTTTTTGTCTCCTTTGTGTTTTTCTTTATGATGACTAGCTTTGGGATGTGAGAAGGAAAGGATGCATCTATACATACAAGGGTCATTCAGATCAGGTCAATATGATTAAGTTCAGTCCAGATGGCAAATGGCTTGTCACAGCAAGTGAAGATACAACAATAAAGGTATGTAGAGACTGCTCAGAGCCAGAAGGGTGTTATCTGTGTTAAAGTACATGAGTTAACAACCTTCTGGCTCCAAACAGATGATTCAATAATGTTGCATGTTAGAATATTAGAATATAATGATAATGGCACTTAGATATATTTCCAGTTTCATTCTTTGTCTAAAAATTGTAAACAAATGATTTTCTAAATGAATTGAATTATATTGAATTGGTTTGGTTTATTAAAAATCTGCATGACATGCAGCTCAAGGCTGATATTGTCTGTTGTAAAAAGTCTGCAGATATTTACATAATACAAACATTGACATAGAAGAGTAATATAATAATGGGAACCTCATGCATTAATATTATATAAGATTTACTTATACATAGACTGAACGCCCTTCTTGCTCTGAACAAACGATATTTCCTTTAACCCTTACTGTACTGGGCTATTTCGAGCATTCTCTGACTGGGGGGGGGGGGGGGGGGGGGCCTCCCAGGCCCCCCCCCCCCCCCTATGATCTCGGCCGTCGAATGTCCGATGAACGCGAAAATTTGCATGTTTGTAGATATTTACGTAAGGAACAAGATGGTATAATTATTTTTTTGCTAATATGCAAATTTTTGTCGTTATAGCCTAATTAATTATGCAAAATGCTAATTTTATGCATTTTACAGAAAACTCTACATATTTGTCTGTAGATTGTGAAGAATCTTGAAAATGTAATGAATAAATGTTTCCTTCATCTCAAATTCATGAGGTTTCATTATTTTTATGATATTTGAAAATCCATAGGTTAATTTGCATAAATTATGAATACGCATTCATGAATGAATATCAAATCCGGAAATAAATATAGGGAACTAGAATCCTTACTAAAATTGTCAGACTCCACTTTTTGAATGTTGTTACTCATTATTCATATGAAACTTCTTTTCTATCACAAAAAAAGTTATTTGAAGTAATTAATAATGATAATTTATGCAAATTTGATGCGATTTTCAACTATTTATTTTCTTATGTAATTTGTTGTTTTTTATTTCTTATTATATCTATTGTTTTATTTCTAATGTATTCTTTTGTTCTGAAATACATCAAGTTACTTTGAGAAACATATAAAAGCAATTTGATATCAATTCATAGCTTCACATTTCTGCTTGTACATGAATATATGCAATTATAGCACTTTTTTGATGACATGCGCATACTAATTGTTATGTACAGGTATATCCAATTTCGACGAAAATGGTATCAAAATGTGCGTAAGATTTGAGGGAAAAAAGTCAAAATTCTGAGCGGTTGCGGCGCAATCTCCGAAAAAAGGGTTAAGTGAAATACAGTAGAACCTGTATATTGAGGCCATTCAAGGGAAACACAGAAAGCGGTGACCTTCCTAGACAGGTTCTACAACACACATTTGTCTCTTGAGGGAGACAAAATGCATGGCCATTATAGAGAGGTGGCCACTAAGACAGGTTCAACTGTACGTGTAAAATTCTTTTCTGTTTTTGCTGCCAACATGCAACACACCAAAATACTATCATTCGTTTGGCTATTTTACTTGACCCCCCCCCCCCCCCCAAAAAAAAAAAAAAAAAAAATGCATCTGATTTTACTGCATTCCAAATTCCAAGATGTTAATGAATATTGCATAATATTTTTGTTTCTTGTATTTGGTTTCAGCTCTGGGACTTGACCATGGGTAAACTATTCCAAGAGTTTAAGAACCATACAGGAGGTGTGACCGGTATTGAGTTCCATCCAAATGAATTCCTATTAGCTTCAGGGAGCTCAGACAGGTAAGCTCAACTTCAGAATGTAGTTTGGAAGAAGAATGATTGCAGTCGTCCCCGAAATCAACAAAATCATATTAGCATTGTCACTTTGGAAGCATTAATCAAGCCGTTTAATTTCATGATATTAATTCTAATTGTATATTTCAAAGACTGTTAGGGAATTTTAAACTTATAGGTTTATTTCACAAGTGACTTCATGTTGCATTCTTGTGCAAAATGTAGCCTAACACATTTATACTAAGAATTTAATTTAAACTAGTCTGACACAATTGTTACTAAATATTACAGAATTCCAGATGGGTCTGCCCGCTCTTCAGCAACATTATCTTGTTTGTTGAATTTTGTTAAAGAAGTGGATGGTCAAATAATACTTGGCATTGTCAATACCGGTGAGAGAATTTGTTAAATGTCATGAAGACTTCTTTTCTAACATGAAGGTAATCTTATCAAGTAATACAATAGCTTAAGTCTAGTAATGCCGATTATATCCAATATTTTGCCTGTTAAGTTACAGAATTATTCACATTAAAAATGGAATAAAAGATTTTTTTTTTAATCATTCATTACTTTTTCCCCAACAGGACAGTACAATTCTGGGATCTAGAAACATTTCAGCTTGTGAGTTCAACCAGCCCAGGTGCCAGTGCTGTTAGGTAAGCGACAGATCTATTTCCTCATTCTTAGTTAAGTGGTGTTATCTCAACACATGGCAGAAATCAGTATCATCCATTAATGACATGCATCATGAATAAATTTACAGTCAAATATCTTTGGGATTATTTGTTAAAATCCTTTCTAGGGAGTGTTATATTTCATTTGGGATTTTATTGTATACTGGTATGTGAGAATAAGACCTACATGTAGTTGTTGATGTGAGAATAAGAACTATGAAATGATTTGCATAAGTTGGTCAGGATTTGGCAAATTTTAGGTCTCATGTATTAGAGGTAATCCTTCTGTAGATCTCTGACAGTGAAGATGACAGTGTTAGCATAGAATTGTCAATGGAATGTATTGAATATACATGCCAATGGCAGATGTAAAAATGTGATTAACTTGTTTTGGTTAAACACTAGCTCTTTCTTGAGAAATTAATCAACTTTTCTCTGTGTGTTGGTGAGAATTGTTGTGAGGGCCTGAAAATATTTATATATATAGGATTTTATTGAAATCAAAACATCAAAAACCAAGAGCAAACAGTCCAAAGACTGACAACTGTCTTGGGTACAAAAATATAATTTAAATCAAATATACATAATAAAATAGTAGTAATGAATAAATACATAAGTTACATAAGTTAAAATATCAAATAACTAAACTATTATCAATAAATATTGCAAAAAGGACATATAAACAATAAGTATACATCATTACAATTACGTCAAAAGAGGGCTCTCGAGCTGTGCAAAATCTAAATCAGGTACAGACCGAGAGTCCAATAAAAGAAAATTAAAATGCATAAGACTGGGTTTAAAAAAGATCAATAGTGAAAAGAGGGGAATATGTCAGCTAAAGAATAATTTTTTAAATTTAAAGTATTGAGAAGGTACAAGTAACATACAATAAAGAAATTCCCAAGAGAGCATAGTAAGAGAATAGAGTAAGATAGAGGAAGAGAGAGGGAGAAAATAAGAAAGGAGAGGAGAGAGGGAGAGAGAGAGAGAAAGAGAGAAGGAAGAGGATAGGAAGAAAGTTAGGGAAATATCAATACCATCTGTAGAATTTGTAAAAACAGTCCAGGTATTCAACATTGTAGACATCATTGCAATTAACCCGAAATACATGAAACATACAATAAAGAAATTCCCAAGAGAGCATAGAGAGAGAAAAGAGTAAGATAGGGGAGAGAGGGAAGAAAAGAAAAGGAGAAAGAGAGAAAGAGAGAGAGAGAGAGAGAGAGAGAGAGAAAGAGAGAGAGAGAGAGAGAGAGAGAGAAGGAAGGGGATAGGAAGAGAGTTAGGGAAATATCAATACCAACTGTAGACTCTGTAAAAACAGCCCAAGTATCCAAGCATTATAGACATTGTAATTAATCTGAGATACATGTAACATACAATCTGTAGAATTTGTAAAAACAGTCCAGGTATTCAACATTGTAGACATCATTGCAATTAACCCGAAATACATGAAACATACAATAAAGAAATTCCCAAGAGAGCATAGAAAGAGAAGAGAGTAAAACAGATGGAGAGAAATAGGAAAAGAGAAAGGGGGAGAGAGAGAGAGAGGAGAGAGAGAGAGAGAAGGAGATAGGAAGAAAGTTAGGGAAATATCAATAAAATCTGTAGACTCTGTAAAATGAGAACAAGTATCTAAACATTGTAGACAATAGACATTATTGCAAGAATTATGAAATACATGTACATAAAGGAAAAAGAAACATGTGTAATCTACCAAAGAAGAATGGAAGAAGAAGGAGGAGGAAAAGAGAAGAATTTGAGAAAGAGAGGGGAAAACACCAGAAAGGAAATTAGAAATTGGTAGATTTACACAAGTTTCATCATGTTGATTACCTTCACTGCCTGTGGTATAAAAGAATTTTGGTATCTGGATGTACGGCATGTTGGTCGGCAAAGAGGGTCACTGTTTCTTAACTGGCGAAAATTTGGTAAGGAATCCCTACGTGGAGGGAGCATGGAAGAATGTCTGGATTGCAAGAGTGATTTAACAAAATTTATGAACAATTGTTGTCGTCTATCTGCAAGGGATGGAATCTGTAAAACTTGAAGGGCGTGAAGGTAATCAACATAATTATATCCCAAAATGATGCGGCAAGATCTTTTTTGGACTCGTTCGATCTTGTTCGACTGATTGGCAGTAATAGATGATGACCACACTGGGGAGGCATATTCAACTAACGGTCTAATATCTATAATAATAATACGCTAAGGCTCCGCGGGGGGCACGACGTCTCCGCGAGCCTTTGTAGTCTATTGTTTTTTAATGAGATCGCCGACCCAAGTTGGTGCAGCTATCTCCTCCTGAACCCTCCCTTCGGGGTCCCGGTGCCCGGTGCCATCGTCCGCGGGAGAGTCTACTCTGTGGAATTGGCTATACTCCGCCCGAGGTCCTCCTCCGTGTCGACGTCCAGGGCGAAAACAGACGCGATATGCATAATGCAGGATATGCGTGACGACAGAGATACCTCATGGATATTCAACATGACATCCGTAGACACACTACCGATGACCATCCACTCACATTAAGTTGCGTATTAAATGCTCTATGCAAAGGGCGGGATTACCGAGAGTAGAGCGTCTTGCTATAGGATGTGCTTTGCATGTAGTAGCTGCACAATTATACACGGGGCTTCCCGTCGACGTCCAAACTTAGAGACCTATTTCCATCATGATTGCCGCGATTTTTATATAGTTTTCGTGAATGGAGGTATGAAATCAAAGCTTATTTTGTGATTATGACGGTTAATGTATACTACATTTTTGATTATCATTTTCTAAAGGAAAGTTTTCACAAGAAAACCATTGGACTGACAGTTCATGTCGCAAGCTGCCTTCAGTCCTCACACATACAGTACTCACAGTGCAGTGTAACACCGGCACCGCGCACTGCAGGCGTCCGAAGCCTGCGGCGTCGGTGTTCGAGCTTTTTGTTACGCTGGAGTGTGTGTGAGTTAAGCTGAGCTGAGCTCGAGTCGAAGAGATTTGACACTTTGAAATTGTTATCTGTTGGTTTGCATCATTATTGCCGCGATTTCAATATAGTTTCGTGAATAGATTTACGAAACCTGAGCTTAGAATTAGTAAAAGTATTACTAGACTCTAATGTCTACGTTTTTAAAAGACTGTTTGATTTTCCTGTGAAAATTTTACTTTGAAAAATGATTATCGAAATTCATGGTCAGAAATAATCACAATCTAGGGTCTATTAATTATGTTACAGTTCTTGCATCAAATCAATGCATGAAAACTTAGTTATTGAACTAGAAATTTTTTTTTTTTTTTTAAATAGGCAATTATGAAGTATTAAGCCTGAAACCTTAGCCTACTAAACAAATCTCAACAAAGTGTAGGCCTATCCTTTTATGAATTAATGAAAAAGTAGCCCCAGAAAAAAGAGCCCCCGAAAGTTGAAAAAGTAGCCCCCGAAAATTTCCCAAAAATTGGAAATGATCGAGCCCCCGAAATGAAAAAACTTAATTTTTTGCCTGCGCCCCCCCCCCCCCCCCTCTAGAATCACGCGGATTTCCGCGGGTCCTGAGTTGAGCGTATATATAATATAGGCGTGGGGTCCACGGGTTTCAAGGGGCCATAAACCCCCAAAAGCTCGGGGGGTTACGTTCTTCAAAGTTGGGGGGGGGGGGAGAGATCAGATCGCGGCGAGTTGAGTGTATATACAATATAGGCGTGGGATCCACGGGTTTCAAGGGGCCATAAACCCCCGAAAGCTCGGGGGGTTTAGGCGTTTAATTAGGGTCAGATGAGCATATTTTTAATACTTTATTTGTGACACTTGCGGGTCACTAATTGGCGTGGGGTCAATACGTAGAGTTGCGTAGTGTTGCGTACCAACTACGCTGGCTTACGTTACTATATGCTGAGGGACGGAAAGAGGTACGCAAGATGAACGAAAACAATTCAACATGTTTAATTTTTTTCGCGTAGTTTCGGCGTAGAAACTTGACGCAGAAAGTACGCCTTTTTACGCAACACTATGCTACATGACTACGCAACAGTACGCTACCCTACGCCAGATCGTCAAAGCAGTAAAAGCTTTCTACACAGTAAGCAACCATAAGCAAACCTGTACTCCAGCCTACGCATAACCTACGCAGGGACTATTTTCCCATTAATATGCAGCCTAATTTCTGCGTAGTCGGTACGCCACACTACGGAACTCTACGCAGTTCCAGTGGCTTAAAGAATAACTACAGGTACAGTTGGATCGTTTTTTTATTTTTATATAAGGCCAAATTAAAAAAAAAAACATGTTTAGCGTCCTGTTTTTTCGAAAAATGGGAAGGAGGAGGCCCTTTTTTTTTCTTTCTTTCTTTCAAAAAGGCTGCTCCGTACATTTTCCCTGACATTCTGGCTATTTTTCAAGATGGCGGCCGACAATTTTTTTTTTTCTTTTTTAAAATCAGAAATACATTTTAGCAGTGCTTTTCATGTTTTTTTTCTTTCAAAAAATTAAAAAATTAAAATTAAAAAAAAATTAAAAAAATAAATAAAAAATAGGAGGCGGCCCCCAAAAAGGAAGCAGGCGGGGACACTGTTTTTTCTTCTTTCAAAAAAATTTTTTTTTTAAATAAAAAAAAATAAACAATTACAAATTTTTTTTAAAAAATTAAAAAAATAAAAAAAAATAAATAAAAAAAAAATAAAAAAATAGGAGGCGGCCCCCTAAAAGGAAGCAGGCGGGGACGCTGTTTTTTTTTCTTTCGGAAAAAAAAAAATTCAAAAAAAAAAAAAAAAAAAAAAATAGGAGGCGGCCCCCAAAAAGGAAACGGGCGGGAACGCTTAACATGTATATTTTTTTAATGGCCTGAATGGCAAATAAAGTTCTTGGTGGTTTTAATTTAGGCAGTCTCTATATATCTATTTACATCCCCCGCCCCCTCTAGAATCCCTCGGATTTCCGCGGGTCCTGCTAGTACATAATATAAATAGCAACCAAATCCTCTAGTGGAGCTTTGTGTTTTCTAAGAACACAAAGGATGTAAAAACGTTGTGATGCTTGTTTGACAGCATTCTCGACTTGTCTATCCCATTTCATATCAGACTGTAAGTGCACTCCCAATAACTTAACAAACTCAGTAGGCTGAAGGACAGAGTCACTGATGCTAACTTCGGGCATAACAATCTGGTTCCGAAGGAAAGAGATATGCAATACCTTACACTTCTCAGGCTTAGGGGTCATCTGATTATCAACAGAAAACTCGGTGATCAAAGATAAATGATCTTGCAATACGGAGGGTTGAGATTTGTGTCTGATTTCAGCGACACTCAAATCATCAACATATTTCCATCTCAGAGGAGTAGAGGTTGCAACATCATTTATCATGATTAGGAAAAGAATGGGACCGAGCCTCGTACCTTGCGGTACTCCACATGTAACAGGCAGGGGCCCACTAAAGGTAGATCCTAAACGTACACAGTGAGATCTGTTCTCCAAGTAGCTACACAAGAGAAGGATAGTATTTGGATCAGTACCTAAATCAAACAACTTCTCAATCAGCACATTGTGTTTGATGTGATCAAATGCCTTAGCATAATCAATAGTACAGACTGAGGCAACATAACCAGGTTTGTCAAGACCTTTCAAGATCGAATCGATCATACTTATTAAATAGTGAGAGGTTGATGATCCTTTCATATTACCGAACTGTTGACTATCAATTTTGCTCATAATGTCTTGATATAACCATTTAGTGAGAAATGCTTCAAAAACCTTTGCAAAGGTAGGGGTGAGTGATATTGGTCTTAGTTGGTCAACAGTATTACATGGTGTATTCTTAGGGATTGGAACAATGTCTGAAACCTTCCAACAATCCGGAAAATTCCCAGTTTCTAAACATTTATTAAAGACCATAGTCAAAGGACCTGCTATCTCAGGAGCGAATTCACAGATAAGTCTAGTGGGTAGGTCATCATGGTGTGTGGATTTAGATGGTTTGAGTTTGCACAGTTCACGATACACTTGATAAGCTTCAATGCTGGGAGGAGGATGTGAAGCAGGCAAGAAAGCCGGTAGAGAAGATCTTTCGAGCGGAGGTAATTGACAACAAATTCCTGCGAAATGGTTATTGATGAAACTTGCTTGCTCAGATAAGCACATTTCACTACCAGGTAGAACAGTAGACTTCTTTTTCATCCCGGTGATCTTGCGTATTTGTTGATGCCAATTACTTAGATGACATTTCCGAAGATCTTTCACCTTGTTGGAATAGAAAGCAGCTTTACGTACCTGGACTTCACGCTTAACTTGATTGCGAAGGCTCTTATAACGTGCCATGTTATTGGAATCAAAGGCTGCTTGCCTTTCTTTGATGAGAGACAGGATTCGCTTGGTGATCCAGGGCTTATCATCTGCCTTGCGAATTATGGAGATGATAGAAAAATGCAGATGATACAATTCAGAGAGAGATTCTTGAAGATCAGCAGCCATCTCGTTGACACCAGGATGCTCTAAGAGATGGCTCCAGTTGGTAGAGGTGATCTCATCTCCAAAAGCGCGAACACTGGACTCACGAAAGGGACGGAAGGTGACTGCTCTGGAAGTCTCCTTTGGGATCGAAGCACAGGCTTTGACAATCACTGTCTTGTGATCACTGTTAGAGATAGGATTAATCACAATTGGAGTATTGTAATAGTCAAATAAATCTGTGAAAACCTTGTCAAGAATGTTATCTCCTCTCATCGGTAAGGTGACTATTTGTTTAAGTAGGAGATTGTTGCACAGTGGAGAGGTATCAAGATCATTGAAGTCACCCAAGATGATCGAGTAGCTATTAGGGTGTTGCGTCTTAATAGTATCGAATGAGAAAATCAACTTGTCAATTATACGCTGTTCAAAAACTCTTCCAGACTGGGGAGGATAATAAACCACAGCAATGAAGATAACGTGTTTTCGTGATACCGTCAATTTTAACCAAAGAATCTCAAAATCTGGGTCATGCAGGAACTCAATTGTTTCAGTTTTGATGTCAGAACGAATATACGCAGCAACACCACCCCCCACACGTCCAATTCTATCATTACGAAATAAGTCATAGCCTGGTATATCTAGTGAACCAGAAGGAATGTTATCTTGGAGCCAAGTTTCGGTGATAACAGCTATATCACATTTATTCACTAACAGTGAACTGTTTAAATCATCAATTCTGTTCTTCATAGAGCGTACATTGGAGAGTAGAATGGTTGGTAATGGCAATTGAGTGGAGTTAGTTATGTGAATTGGATGCAGGTTACAAGGAAACTTTCGATAGTGAGATTGGCTCAAACACTGTCTGTGACGTGATGTAATTTGCACTTGAATATTACGTTGTATCTTTCGACCGCTTCTACACCCACGTACCTTGTAAACACCACATTCTTTTGCTGCTCTAACCATGGAAGGGGAGGGTTTCACTTTGTGCTTTCGTAGCTTGTAGAGATCCGCAGTGCTATACGTGATCCTCGTTGGCGTACGAAGCGCATCCACGGATGCAGGTTTGACGGGCATGGTGCGATCCATGGCGAGTTCGCCAATCTCCAACGCGTACGTTGAGTGACATACATGCACGAATGCTATGTATATCCAGCACACCAGTGCAAAAGAGAGGAGGCAAAATCGTCGATTCAGGTTGCAATCTACCATGACTGTGTCTAAAAACTATTGAAGTAATGTCCAAAACTAATGAAGTAGTAATGAGTTCACAATAAAAGTCAAACTAAAGTAGAAAGCAATGAAAAAAAAGGAAAAACAAAAATTAAAGAGCTGACAAAATTAAAAGCTCACGGCTGCTGCAGAGCGCCCTCTGGTTATTTTTTTTTTTTTTTTTTTTTTTCTTCATCAACTCTATCAGGTGTGTCCACCCGACACACCTGACCTTCGATAACAATTGTGAATAAATAAATGGACGAGTGATGTATGTGAGATAGGTATTACATTTCTCATCGTTTCTAATTTTTTTCTTTTCTTTTCCGAATCCAGATCGATATCATTCCATCCTGATGGTTCCTACCTGTTCTGTAGCAGTCAGGACATGTTACATGCGTTTGGTTGGGAACCAATCAGGTGCTTCGATACATTCTCAATGGGCTGGGGCAAGGTAGCCGATACCGTTATTGCATCAACTCAGCTCATTGGTGCGTCGTTCAATGCCACTAACGTGTCCGTCTATGTGGCAGATCTGTCGGTAAGGAACTTTTGTTTGGTGCATGTGCTAATTATGAATGAAAGAGATGCTAAACATGAATACATCTGGCTATAACAATTACATAATGTATTCATAGAAAACACAAAGAAAATGCTTTTGTTCCCTTATTATGTTGTTGATAAATGGCTTTCCACAGTGTAATGTCTAATCATATTCGACATTTAATATAATTTGTAAATAGCATGAGTGCATGACATATAATCTTAAAGGTGTTAACTTGAACTTGATGTAGTTATCTTTAATTAAAAACATATGACATGTTTACGCCAATATGATTTCTTGAAAAAGTGCCTGACCGCAAATATCTTCTTCTCTATTTGTGTCTAAACAATGTGCCTGTTCATACACTGGAATGGTATCAAATTTTTCTGTGCAATAATAATGATAATAATGATAATAGTCACATTTGTAAAGTGCTTAATACTGTTTCTAAGTGCTTTTACATCTTAATTATTGCACAACCTTGTATATTTTGGAAATTAAAGGAACAAAACATTTGGACTGGTCGCCCTTTGCAGACCATGGCCTTTAAAAGATCAATTTCCACATCTTAGTAATGTTTTACCATGTATCCCTTTATCACACAGAGAATGAGTACTACCGGTATAGCCCAAGAACCACAGAGCCAACCCAGCAAGACACCTTCTGGTGGTGCAGAGGAGGTCCCATCTAAACCTCTCGCAGCTAGCGGTAGAAAGAACTTTGTCAGAGAAAGACCCCATACTACATCCAGTAAACAAAGGTCAGTTCCTCTCTTATCATTAATGTGTTTGGGAATGTTTTCTGTTTTATTCTATCACATGGCATTCATTTTCTTGGCTTGATGTGAATGGGTGCTTGTTGGCATTGCCGTTAATTTTTTTTTTATAAATACAGTCAAACCTGTTTTAGTGACTACCTGTCTATAAAGACGACAATTTTTGTTTCTCTTGAAATTGGTTTCTCATTGAAACGTGTACTAAAGGAACCTGTCTATAAAGACCACCTGTCTACAAAGACCACCTGTCTACAAAAACCACCTTTTGTTTTTCTCTTGGGCGAGCGCTATAGACAGGTTTGACTGTATGATGTTTCTTTTCAAAGGGTATTCAGCATCATCAGTGATTATCAATTGACGTTAAGAGTTCACATGCTTTGATAATTGTTATGATCATGAGAGACTTCAAATTCAAAGTGAACACATGCTTGTCATCATAACATAAAACATATGTTGATGTTAATACAACAATGTATGTCCACAGCCTACGTCTATCACTTTGAATTCATTAGTCTGTGGAATATATTTAAGTGGAAAGTAAGGCTTATCTTCAAGTTTTTGATTGTCTTTGTTTCTTAATCCTTAGACAACCTGATGTGAAGTCGGAACCAGAAAGGCAGTCTCCTACACAGGATGAAGGGGTTAAAGATGATGATGCAACAGACATCAAAGATCCAGACAGCTATGCAAAGATATTTAGTCCAAAGACAAGAGTTGGTAAGTCAAATTGGTTTCAACCCCAAGACCTTGTGCTCATCTTTGTAGGGCAAGCACATATTAAGGCTATGCTTATGAGTGTGAAAAAAACAGAAGCAAACATAGACCATCACCATTCTGTTTCCTGAAATTCTTATTAATGTTTGAAAATTCTTAAGCATAATTCTTAATCTAAAGATAACTTTGAAATAAATCAATTCAATACAGCCCAATACAGATTTCAAACTTTAAGCAAGGTGAATTCAGTCTTTATTCTATGTTGTCATTTATATTAAGCTTAGTGTGTGAATACAACAAATCTTACTTTATTTTAAGACAAGAAATTATATTAGGTTGTATACATTGCTAATCTGGTCTATTTATTGATCTCTATATTTGTCAATCAATCAATGCATTGTGTGGTGAAAAGGGGGAAAAATGACTACCGGAAGGTGAAAATTAGGGGGAACGGTTGTCATTTTGAGAGAATTCATATTGTGCTGCATCATATGATACACACATTTTTTTGCTTTCATGATTTTAGAGGAATAATGAATTGGGCATTGACTCCTTTAAATTAAACAAAATACAGTATTGCCATTTACAGCTGTCCACTAAGCTGATCATGATGTACAGTGAAACCTGTCTATAAAGACCACCCAAGGGAGACAAGAAAATTGGTCTCAGGCAGGTGGTCTTTATGTACAGGTTCCTTTAGTACATGTTTCAAGGGGAAACAAATGTGGTCTTTGTAGACGTGTAGTCTTTCTATACAGGTGGTCACTAAAGAAGGTTTGACTGGATTACACAATCTTTGCTCATCCACAGATCATTCACCAGAGAGAAATGCACAACCATTCCCTGCACCTTTAGACGTTCCTGGTGCAAAGGAGCCTGAACCTTTCAAGCACCCACCCCAACCAGCAGCAGCAGTGGCACCTGTAAGCAGAGCCCCTGCACCATCAGCCGGTGATTGGCAACCTGCACAGGCCAACCCAGCACCCAACAGGGTACCTGCAGCCACCAAACCAGTACCAGCACAAGAGGTTTGAAGATTAGCATCACTGAAATGACTTATTCTAGACACTGTTCACAATAAGAAACTATCCCCCTCCATCTTCCTCTCTTCTTACACCTTGAAGAGAGTTGCTCCAGAGATGCCACAGAGCACTGATTTACAGTATTCCATCTTGAAATTGAAGGAACAAATACTGAAAATTTCATATAAAATACTGATATTTGATGACCCTGTTCTATTTTGAAATATTACAATTGTGTTTGTTTTACTAACACCACTCACCTTAACAAGATACAAGATTCAGCTATTACATAACCTAAATGTTCCTGTGAAATTTGGCATTTTTGCCCCTTAGAGTGATGACATGACAGCATTACACACCCCTGTTGTTGAAACATTGCACTCTAAAAACTTTATTCATCCGACGAAGTCATATTGATATATAGTTTTGGCATTCTACCTTATGAGGTACAAAACTTGTCTATTGAGGCCACCCAAGTGAAAAAGAAAATGTGGCCACTGTAGACAGGGTGCCTTTCTAGACGGGTTCTACAACACATTTCTTTCTGTAGGGAGACAAAAATCATGGCCACTGTAGAGAGGTGGCTGCTAAGGCTGGTTTTACTGTATATAGATTCTGATTGCAAAGTACTATTTCTTGATACATGTGCATCAGAGCTGGATTAATTATATTCTTATTTTGCCGCATTTTTGTCTTTCTTTTCAGGTTGCTCCTTCAAGGAAACCTGATCCTATATCCACCATTATCCCCTCAGACAGAAACAAGCCAGCCAACTTAGATATGGATGCATTCCTACCGGTAAGATACCTATTTCATGAATAGATTAGTACCAATTAGATACCAAGATAGAAATGCATTCTTACTGCTAAGATATCTAGATATGGATGCATTCCTACCGGTAAGATAACTATGACATCAATGTATTCCTACCGATTTAATTCTTAGACATGAATGCATTCCTACTGATTTGATTCTGAGACATGAATGCATTCCTACCGATTTGATTCTGATATGAATGCATTTCCATATGAATACAAATTTACTGGTGAGATACCAAGATATGATTGCATTCCAACCAGTAAATACCTAAATATGAATGCATTCTAAACAGTGAAAAAAACCTAGATATGAATGCATTCCAAACAGTAAAATACCTAGATATGAATGCCTTCTAAACAGTAAAATACCTAGATATGAATGCATTCTAAACAGTAAAATACCTAGATATGAATGTATTCTATACAGTAAAAAAAAAAAAAACCTAGATATGAATGTATTCTATACAGTAAAAATAAAAAACTTAGATATGAATGTATTCTATACAGCAAAAAAAACCCAGATATGAATGTATTCTATACAGTAAAAAAAACTAGATATGAATGTATTCTATACAGCAAAATACATTGATTTGAAAATATTTGAAATATATATCAGTCAGATCCCGATTTGTGATTGAATTTGTCTGAGTAAGTATCTAAATATGAATGTAATCTTAGCAGGAAACACACTCCTAGCATGACAGTGTGTTTTGTGATTCTCATTTGTAGCAAATACTTTTCATGCTACTTTAAAGGCTCCCTGTAAAAATTCAAATTATTCAAGTATTCCTTTTCCTCAAGCCATGGCAAATGGTAGGATTTCTAGAAGTTGATATGCAGTCATCTGATATAAAGAAGTATCCTTGTGGTCCTACATATCTCGTCAATCTTATTGCGGGTAGTTTTAATGTGATTCTATTTTATTTTAATCATGATTAGACCTGTCAGATTCATCATTTTTTAAAACACAAAATATGCTGGTTTAAGCAGCTTCTTTGTTAAGGTGATTGCTGTACAGTCAGTATTCAAAACATAAAAAAGTGCTGTTGTTCAGTCAGTGCTAATATTAACCTTTAACACCATACCATACCCTTATGTCATACAGCACTTATATATACACCATACCTTTATCTTGTACAGCCAGCCCATGCCCAGCAAGCACCACGTGTAAACGCCCCCGCCTCAAGAAAGCAGAGTGATAGCGAGCGCATCGAGGGTCTGAGGAAAGGGCATGACTCGATGTGTCAAGTTCTTTCTAGTAGACATCGGAATCTAGATGTGGTACGGGCTATCTGGACGGCTGGTGATGCAAAGGTAAAATCATATAGTGTAAACGTGATAATATCAAATGAATAAAGATAATTAATAATGATATTATATTGCTATAGATTAAATTAATACAATATTGATAATAATATTAAATTAATTATATACAAAATATTTAAATGAACTGATAAAACTTAGTGACAAGAATACATAATATTGTTCATGTATATTTTAAATGCATATGCACAAAATTTGTAAGATATGGTTGGATTTTATGTTGTTGCTGTCATTTCCTCTTTATTTCACAAACCATGATAAAATAAAACATTGCCTAAATATAACATAAATATAAATCTGATGGTATGAAGAGTACAAAATTGCAAAAAATAATAGAGTAATACATAGAAATATATGAACATGCTATATAAGTGAAAAACATACATATACCATGAAATGTACCATTTGAAAATCATGATGCTGCAATCAGTTAGCAACTGTAACCATGTCTTTGAAAGTGTGCTTGATGATTTCTGGTTTTATTTGGATGTTTCAGACGTCTGTGGAGTCGGTTGTGAACATGAAGGACCAAGCAATACTGGTAGACATTCTCAATATTATGCTCCTTAAAAAGTAAGTTTGATGCTTCCTTCTCACCACTTCTGAAGTTCGTTGTTGCCCCTCCCCCCCCCCCCCCCCCCCCCAGCACACAAAAAAAAATCTTATTCGCTATCAGTCTTATACATTTGGTAAAATTGGATGCAAAGCTAGGATGTTCAAAGTTCTGTCTATCAAACATAAATTGTGAACAGTTAGGAAATTACCTCACACAAACAAAATTCTTTTTTGGATTATTTGTCAGATTGTCAGATTGATGAATAGTACTTCTATATTATTATTAATCTCCATATTGATGATATGTGTCTCTTCTATGTGAAATTATTACTCATTTTTTTGGATATTTACATTTTGGTTATACACTACAAGTTTAGACATCAAGATATTGTATAGATTATCAAGCATATTTCATTCAAAAGTAATAAATGTTTTTTAGTCCATAAGAATATAATACTCTCTTATATTTTACATGCAGTATTGATATTCAGTCAGAGGGAGAAGCATGTGCAAGACATAGTTACACAAATGTTTGTTGACACCAGAGAAATACCATTTCAGCCTAGACAGATTTTTGTTCTGTTATGTTTGCTACTAAAATTCATACATCTTTTTATTTATTTTTATTTTTTTTTATTTATTTATTTTTTTTTTTTTTTTTGGGGGGGGGGCTATTTTGTTTGTTTGCTTGCTTCTTTTTTTTTTATATAAGAAATTGAAATGTCATGATCGGGCTTGTCAGTTCCTTATTGAGATACACATCTTTTTTTTATTTCAGGTCATTATGGAATTTAGACATGTGTGTTGTTGTGCTACCCAGACTGAAAGAACTCCTTTCCAGCAAGTATGAAAAGTAAGTCATTCATTGAACCCCAGTACGATTCATCATTATCAAGTATTTTCTTGTGTTAGATAGCTCTTACAGATACAAAGATGCAATTGGTCCACAGCTCGTCATGCAAGAATCATAATTTTTTTTCTTCTTCATGTTTTTTGGGTTATATTGACCATATTGTCAAATGAGTATATGTTCCACAAATTTTGCTAATCACACCGAGATCACAAATTCGAAAACATAGAAATATTGAGTTTCCATATCAAGCTTTCAGAGTGCACATTTACACAGCTAGCAGAAACCGCGTAGTATTGTCTGAGGTTGCTAGGAACTATACCCATAAAAACATTTTTAGGGCTGAAACTCTGCTGTTTTACTGTAGTGTAAATGCAAATCTCCACTTTTCAAATGTACAACGTATCAGTACTGTATGTTCAGGGCATTGGCAGAGTCATGCAGTGCAGCCACCACATGCATGCATTGAGCATAACTATTGTGTGTGCCTTCTAACAGCGCAGACATAGTGTGTATGGAATTAAGTAGGAGTAGCCCGAAGGTCATTTGCAAAAGCAATGACTTGTTGGCCTGTAATCCGTGAAGGTATTGGCTTATTGAGTATGAGTACTTTCACAGTAAGACACAAGTGTTCAGTTCTATACTCCTTTCTTGTTATAAAGCAAGAAAGTCAGCATTGGAGCTGGTCCCTGTATAATAAAGAATTTTTCTACTAAAGAGTTTTAGTTCTATAAAAAAACAGGCATTTCTGTGAAAGCCATAAAGGATGGCTTGATGTTATACTGGTATGCATTCTTGCAATGTTTTGACAGATTGAAGCCTGCTTCAGATATGCGGGAGTAAACCGTGGCAGTTTTTTATGATAATGTAAAGTGGAACACACTTCTCAATTCTGTATCTTATAACACAGAGCTATTAAAAGGGAATACGAGTAGGGCCTTTGTTGCGCAAAGTTGCCTTTCATTTAACACGTTAAAAACAATGCAGCATTTTCGTGATTTACCGTGACATATCTGAATGAGCCTTTTAGATAAAGATGAGTTATGGTCATGCGATTGCATTGCGAAAGAAATGGAATCGATCAAAAAAGGTTAATCATCTAGCATACAAGTATTGGTGTGTACTGCAAGGTTCCGGAATCATCAAAATGATAAGAAATCTGGCCCAGTCTTCATAAAGTTACAAGCACTGTACACAGAAAGATGTATATGGGACTACGTGACACGTGCGTTGTATCTATCAGGTCCAAATAGATATAATATTTTACCAAAAATATCAATTAGTAGGCGGTTTCTCAGCAAAAGTTGTATCATTACGATTTAGTCAAAACATATTCTTTACCATGATTGGTAATAAAATATTTCATTTTTTGAGAGGGGAGCATTTCCAAAACTGGCCTTTACCTTTAACCATCTTTGTGTTTGATTCTCCTTGTTTTCTTTCTAGCTATGTCCATACATCATGTGCCTGCCTGAAACTGATATTGAAGAACTTTACCAGTCTTTTCAACCAGAATATCAAATGCCCACCATCCGGTATAGACATTACCAGGGAAGAAAGGTAGGTTGGAAGGAATTCCAGGATTCAAACTTTCTTTAATTACTCTTGTATTATTCCATGAGGATCAAAAGCTGTTTGTTCTAAATTCATGAATCATTTATAGCGATATCATGAACTCTCTGGTTGACTTTGAGGATTTCATGTGCCATCCCTATCACAGTCAGTGTTGTCTTTACTTTCAAACTTATTTGTTGGCAGCCGTAGAGTCTTTAACCCTATTTTAACTGGGCTATTTCAGACCAGGTTTTTACTGGGGGGGGGGGGGGGTCAATTTGACCCCCCCCCCCTAAGATCTCGGCCGTTTCACCGCCGATCGCCGCGAAAATTTGCATGCATGTTAAGTGAAGTGTATAGAATACTATGGTAATTTCAAATTTTTGAAAAATTAACTCATTTGCATACTTATGGTAATTTATGCAAATAAGGTCATAAAATTCACATTTCGGCCCATAAATCATAGATTATTCATATTTAAGTATTCTTTTTCACTACATATATTTATTAGACCATTTGGAATAATAATACGACACAAAAATTGGAAGAGCCAGGTTATTCCTTATGTTATCTCTTGTTTTTATAATTTCTTATGTATTTCATTGTTTTTTTAACTTATGTATTTTATTGTTTTTGTTGTTTTTTTTCATTTATTACTACAATTCAACTATTTTGACCCCAAAACAAACATCTAAACTTTAAACAAGACTGAATAACCAATGTTATATCTATTTTTAGGAAAAATGACTTTTACATATGTTTTGTACACAAATCACGAAAATGAGCGATTTTCGGGCTGACATGCAAAGACAAAAGGTCACGCGACCTTGTAACCGTAAGTCCGATTTTCAAAAAAAAAAATTTGAAAGATGCGTAACACTCGAAAGTAAAAAGTCATGAGGAAAATTTTATATCTGCCGCGGTTTCGGAGTAGTCGCGAAATTTCTACAGGGGGGGGGTCAAATTGACCCCTCCCCCCAGTTAACGTAGGGTTAAGAGTTACAGTGCAAGCATTGTTCATTGTGCTTTCTTGTTTAGCTCATCACTGCTTTCAGACAGTCATTGTGCTTGTTGAACTTGTTTGTTATGTCTTCAGCTGCCTTTTATTTGGTAGAATTTTTGTTTCTGCAGGTCCATTAAATCAGATTCTGATTTCTCTGTAGTTGTTTTCCAGGATTCTTGATTTGCCTGTCCAGATGAAGATTGTTGTCTAAGACATAAAGAGCTGGATATCTTTCATAACATTTTATATGTGCATTGATTTTCTTAAAAATTAGGTCCACTATCAGATCATGCTTTTTCAGTAATATTTTCCTAAACACTGTTTTTTTAATACTTTTTCTGTTTTATATCTTGGGCTTGTGATCGAAAGATTGGGTTCTGTATCGTATCTTTGATGACTTGTATGACTTTTAATTGTTCTTGAATTATTTTATGGTTGCAACTTGAGAATTTGTTGGTGCAGAATGAGAGCTAAAGTAGACCAAAATTTTTCTAATTGTAGATAGTTTTGATAAAATTCCAGCTACTTCATCTCCAATTTAGCCACACAGATATTCATTGGTCTATAAATTTGATTATGAGTAAAAAGGAGAAATATGTCGCACAACTGGGTATTATTGGTATATAGTATAACCACTGCATAACCACTACAGAAACCGCTGCTCTATCCACTTTACCTCCATGTAATAATGTATGTAACTTGATAAATGTTTATGATTATAAATTTGCCAGGTTCATTATTACAAAAAAATTGTTAATTAGCAAAAAATGAAGTATGTAGATGATAGCTGAATAAAGTTAATTAGATTGTTTTCAGTACAAAACAGGCATATTGCAGCAAAACAATGAAAGGGCTTTTTTACCTACCAAGTACAAAGCTGAATTAAACACCTGTGTTGACTATGTGATAAAAATATTATTAGTAATATTGTATGTTCAAGGAAAAAAAAAGATTTTTACATGTTGATCACAGTTGTGAATATCAAAGTTCAAAATCAATTTTATTTAGCCTCTGAGTGCAAGTTCCCTGTTTCAATTGTCTAAGATCAATTGAAGTAAATTTGCTCACAAAAGACTGTTTTACTTTAATATATTCAAATTGTATGCATACTGTCTAAACAATGGGTGTTCTTGACAATTGTAAGCTTGCCTAAAGCTCGCCTGACATAGCAACAAGCAGACTGAATTCCAAGTATTGTAGTTTATTCATTAATTAATTAATAACAGGTTAATGGAATAACTCGTCACTAGGTCCCCAAGAAAGAAACATCCATAGATTTGAATATGTACAGTTAGTAAACCGGTTCATAAACCGGTTAGTAAATCGGTTCATTCAGCAGAGTTGATAAAACATCATGTTTATTCTCTTGGACACTCAATCAAATCACATTCACATGTTCTGTATCTGTGTTATGTCTCCCTCTATAGGTATAACAAGTGCAGTAAATGTTACAGCTATCTGATTGCCACGCGGGGCTACGTGGAGGAGAAGCAGCACGTATCGGGCAAGTTGGGCAGCTCATTCAGGGAGCTACACCTCTTACTAGACCAGCTAGAATAGGGAGAAGGAGCTATCAATCTCCCCTGATGAGTGTGTGTTTGAAGGCAAGACAGGGTTGTCTCTCTGTACTGCTCTATCATAGCTGTACTCTGTCATGTGATCTAAAGGAGGATGCATTCATGTCATACATTCATCTTTGAATGCAAGACAGGGTTGTTTCTTGTACTGCTCTATCATAGCTATACTCTGTCATGTGGTAGGCAGGAGAATCCATTCATGTCATGCATTCATGTTTGAATGCAAGACAGGGTTGTCTCTTGTACTGCTCTATCATAGCTATACTCTGTCATGTGGTAGGCAGGAGAATCCATTCATGTCATGCATTCATGTTTGAATGCAAGACAGGGTTGTCTCTTGTACTGCTCTATCATAGCTATACTCTGTCATGTGGTCGACAGGAGAATCCATTCATGTCATACATTAATCTTTGAATGCAAGGTGGAGATGCAATCAATTTGAAACCTAACCCTAGACAGAAATAAAGACAAACCTGTAACAATTTATATGAGATGCAACAACCCACCCCTGCAAGAAATATATAGTCCAATGGAGTCTTTGCAAGCCATACATGTCTGTAGGCAGATGAATAATTGTAGTCATGCTAATATAATAGCCTACAATTCAGTGAGTGCATTCAAAGGTTCTATTAACCCATTACTTGCGTGAACCAGGTGGTCTCTGTATAAAGCCTATGGGAATGCAAGAACCAAGCTGTCACAGGTTAAGCCTTGTTCAGATAGGAAGTGGTGTTGCGGGTAAGCCTGAATCCGATGACCGGGGTAATAATTTGTGCTGCGCCTAGAAACAAAGTATCAGGCGCATTATAAATGTGAGCTATTATTATTAAAACGCAGTGGATTGATGACTTAACCATAATACACTTCGCATTTCTCCATCTTATAACAAAAAGCTCAGTGAATGCTTGTAGGATCTTTGTTGCATGCAGCTGCCATTCGTTTACACGTTTTTATACAAAACTGTCGCAGTGTACCACTTCATATGGACCGCGTATTATAAAAAGTTCTGATAGATCTTAAGTTTGATCAATACGTGATGAGCAATAGACTTACACTCAATATTAACCTTACGATCAATCAAAAGGCTTTTTAATAGATGGCCATGATGGAGCAAACCTTTAGGATAATAATAATAATACTCAGTTTTTATATAGCGCTTATTAGAATCACTGAGCGCTTCCAAACTTGGAGATTATTACCCCGGCTTTAGCTGTGCTGCCATTGTGGCGCTCTAGCATTTCAAAGAATTGTTGTAGGTCGAGGATGCCTCAGAAACCTTACAGTCATGTCTTATGATGAAAGGCTTCTGCAGCCATGGCTCCTGTTATCCCCAGGGGGGCTCGTAATGCTCATGTTGACATTGGTTTTAATTTGAATCTTGTACACTTCAAAATATGCTCATGTTGACTGGGTTTTAATTTGAGTCGTGGATCTTGTACGGATTCAGTAAAGCTGAGCTTCACTGTGGCACTGTGGGCAGAATTATCCAATTAGATTAACTCTTCAAAGTAAATTAACCATTCAAAACAAGATGTGTTGTTTGTCTTGGTCACATGTTAAGGATATCTGATCATTGTTACTGTGGATTAGTTAATCAGATTTGTACAAAACAAAATGCATTTTAAAAATCAATTACAAAACCAAGGGTCTGTACAGTGCTTGAAACTAACTTATAATTAAATGTTATACTTATTAATTTTATACAAGTCATCCAAACTTGTCTGAACAGTTCTTTCATCATTAAGACTAAAACATATTTTGAGAACAGGTATGATATTGGCTCAATTTGGACTGGGGGGAGGCAAGATGTTTGACATGGAGTGGGCTCTGGAGCTCTTATAGTACATCAAACTTTTAAGGTTATTTTGACATGGTTTATACCAAGTTTGTGAGGGAAGTTTCGTTGAAAGGGGTAGTGGAATGAAAGCAAGTGAGAGAATACCAACTCTGTCTGATACCTTGCATCATATACTTAAAGAATGTACTTAGGTAGAAAGAAGATATTATATTTCTTTTTTCGAAAGTTCTACTTCAGGTTTGATTACTTAGAATTCCTGATTACTCTGTTAACATTTGTTAGTGAGAGTTAATTCTATTGTTGCTTACACAGTTTCTCTTTACTTAACATGTACACAGCCAGCTTTGTGCAGACATTAAAGATGGTTTGGCCTTTTTCAGAACTAAAAACCTGAAGTTCCATGTATGCAGGGGTATATTAAAGAGGCCTATTATTGGGAACCTCCCACCAAAAGCTCTTGACAGACAGTTTTTGGAATAGGGTTAAGATTCAAGCTTTATTATTTGCAAAACTTTGCAATAAGTATGAATATGTTTGTTGTATGAAGCTTTCATAACTTTTATTTTTCCTGATCTTGCATAATTTTAATTCATCTTTCATTTTCTTTCCATAACTCATTCTATTCCATCATATTATTATTGCAATTATACAAATAATATATGCACACATGATTTGTATGGTAACTGGGATATATTGGTCCAATAATGACTATTACTTTTATTTGGGTGTTGTCTTTAAAAATGTTTGCTGTGTTGTAGTGATTATTTTTTTCTTTTGATGTTAGTACCGGTATTCAAGCCATGGATTGGATGTACAATAAAAACCTGCCTTTTATTCCTAGAGAATGTATAATAAAGGAGAAATATAGAGTAGGAACCTCATTTCTATAAATACGCTTGTGATGTATGAATTCATATTTCAGTCCTTCAGTTTGAGGACGATGCTGCACTTTGGGGACTTAGATAGAATCAAATAACACGTTTCTGCTTTAATATGTAACATGAGTAGCATGTGGTCGCTGTCTGTCCTTTTCAACTTGCTATTATGTTATTCAATTCTCTGACATCTTTCTTCTCTCTGTCTCCTTCTCTCCGTATCTCCTTCTCTCCCTCTCCTCTGTCTCTCTGTCCCTCTCTCTCTCTCTCTCTCTCTCTCCTCTCTCTCTCTCTCTCTCTCTCTCTCTCTCTCTCTCCCTCTCTCTCTCTCTCCCCCTCTCTCTCTCTCCATCTCCTCTCTCTCTCTCTCTCTGTCCCTCTCTCTCTCTCTCTCTCTCTCTATATATATATATCTCTTTCTCTCTTCCCTTCTCATGCATTCCATCTCAGGACCGTTGCACAAAACTTAGCATTGAAGGTGACTTTGCTATTAATGGTAACTTCCATGGGAACTTTGATTTGATTGGCTGTTGAATGATGTTGCCATGGTAGTTAACATGTAACTGGGCCATGGTTTGTATGCCTATCATTGTTGTTCATCTCATACACCTTTTCTCTCTCACTTTTTCTGTCTAAAATATCTTATTCTCGCTTCTTTCATTTTTCTTTCTCTCATAAATAAATGAGGTACATTGTAAGGTAATTCATGTCCTATGAAATGTTGTATCTCAATTGTACTACTTATGGTTCTTGCTGTATGGTGATAGCAAGTTAAAAGAAATTATGTGAGGGATGTTATATTAAAGAGATAGAATCCTCTTTCCCTTAAGAGATGTTGTAAAAATAGAAATTGAATTTAATAAATGGATGCTATGTTAATGCTTAATAATTTGTAAAATTGGCATTGAAATAATTCTGAATTTATATCTTGAAAGTACTTTAATATATATATACTGCCAACTAGCATGTTTATGATTGATAATGCAATGGAATGACATCTAAAAGCTAACGATAATTATGTGCAGTTGATCTCATCTAAGTACTTCTGCATTGGACCCTCACTGTGTGTTTAATATAGAAATAGATATTTCTAGGCTATTACTGGAAGTGTTAGATTGATAGTGCCTGTATACCGTGTTATTTCTTCCAAATTTATATCATTGTTTTTCAGCATCCATCATTTTTGTTCATGATTCCTGCAGGGTTTTTTAAAACGAAATTAACCTGCTTAATTCACCTTGGTCCTTAGTTTTTCCTGTTTTTTGTTTCATCTTGCCTTCTTTCTATTTCACAATGCCATGGAAGCTAAATGGTTTACACAATGGAGGAGGTATAGCTGGATTTATGGAATAGCATGTGCATGCATGTTTGCTCCATGCTATAATGTTGAGTTTGCTATCGGTTGGTAACATTCTGTTGAAAGCTGTCTATTATTTTCATAACAAGCTGTCTATTATTTCATAATATATTGATATGTAATCATGATATTCTTTCATTGCGGATACACTGCAGCTATATACTAATGTTTATTTGTGATTTGTACATTTTTGTGAGAGAAAAAGAAGGCTCTAGTGCGACTGTTTTGTTTGTAATTACAGTTGTTGAATATTTGCAGATATCTGGTCGAAGAGTGGACATTAACAAAAGTATACTTCGATTTGTAAATAAAGAGCAGATAATAACACTTTTGTATTAATCGGTCTCATTTTTACCTTAGCCATTTTAAAAACCACAATGAAAGTTACCTACGGACTGATGGTTTTTGGAAGGCATAAAGAACAGATATAAAGGAGAATTTGAATAAGAAACTAAAGGGAAAAGGTCGGGGATAAGGACCTACATTTGACAGAGAAATTGTTGGAAAAGAATGAGTGACGGCATGCCTACTCTGACATGTGTGCAAATTACAGACAAAACAAATTGTATCAGAACAGAGAGAGAGAGAAAGAGAGAATCTTGTTATGATATGGAAGAGAAGGTGAAGGTGATTTTAAAACATATTAAAAAAAATAAAGATAGAAGCCATTGAAAATATTGTTTTAAATATATCGTAGAGAGAGAGATTCGTTTAATGATGTATAAGAGAATGGTGATAAGAAAGAACAAACAATACAAAACATAGGAGTCATTTAGAAATATAGAACGAAGAAAAACAATAAAAGGTTTCTTCATTTGTAGGCCCTATTACAAATGAGAGAGGGAGTTAGTGGGAGAGAGAGAGAGAGGGAGAGAGAGAGAGAGAGAGAGAGAGAGGGGGGGGGGCGGTCAATACCCGGAATGGGAAAATGTAATAATAGACAATATATAGTCGATCTGAGATTTGCACTAAAAGTTATAATCTATATCGGGATAAGGGAGGACAGACTCTGATGGGGGTAAATCAATAAAACAAGACATATAGAAAGAACCCTTAGGGTAGGTTAAACTGAAAATTACTTCTTCTTCTTTTTTAATCTAGCTGTGGAAGAAAAAATAATCCCTCACATTTTCTAGAAATGAAAAATGAGAAGGGATTGGAGTAGATTATGAGGCCATGAGGACGATGAAAGGAATTGATTTTCTTCTCTTTTTTTACCCGAAATCGGCTTGATGAAGTTCGATCTCCATCACGGCTCGTCTAGCTATCGCAGACCAGATATCCGTGCCATCTTCATCTCCCGGGGCGCTCGCCGACAAGTGTTAACTTACCACCCCGTACGTGATTTCTTCGTCGATATACCGTACGCGTGACGTCGGACGCATGTAGTGCATACTGCTTATTGTGCGTAGAAATAATAAACAACGGGCGAAATTGACTTCGGTGAGCGGAGGAGAGCGTGAATGACCAGGACGCTGAGAAGCTTATTAAAATCTCATGTGACTTATACAATGTCGGAGCACGATTCGCATGGATAGTCTGTAGTGATTATTTGTAGAAGGGCTTTAATTAACTTCATTTGAGAGGCCAGAGGCACTTTGGAAATCTCAATTCGAATCTAGTTGTTCCTCTGCAAATAGTACATCTGCTGACCAGGCGAAATTAAGACATCAGGAATCGGGACAAGCCAGCTTACTTTTACATGAACCCTTTTACCCTTTAGTTTCTGTTATTCTTTCGTAGTATAGTTGCTTCCATATAGTTTCCATCGTACCCTTCGATTTAGCCAAAGTTTCCTTTTAAATCTTTTTGTTTCTTTCCAAGCGCTCCAGATGCAATCCCCACAAGGGAGATATATTGCAGGGGCGGATCTAGCTTTTTGCCGAGGGGGGTGTTTGACCCAGTGGCGGATCCAGGATTTTCCAAAAATCGCGCCGTTTTTACTGTTTTACTCTTTTTTTCTCACTTGGCCGCCCAAGGGGGGTGGGGGGGGGGGGGGGGTTAAACCGCCGAAACACCCCAACCCCCTAGATCCGCCCCTGTATTGCATTTTCTATATAAATAGTGAACTTATGCAAACTCTGTGGGAAACATTATGGTGTCAAATTACATATAATGAGGCACTGGCGTATAGCCATGGCTTGTTGAACAGGGGGGGGGGGGCGGCACAAACAGAGGGTAATGTTAAGGCTCCTGACCCCCATGACCCCCAAGATGCCCCCCTCCCCCAGCTACGCATATGTAACGTATTCCTAACAAATTGTTTGACATTTTCTTATGATTTCTAAATCCGGGGAAGGGGTGGGGAATGGAAACGGATTCAAGAACGTATGACCCTTCATGGTATTTTATATAAAATGATTAAGTGGCCGGATGTATTTGAGACGTGATCAAAAGTCAAATAGCCTACTTATGTTTCTAATATCAATCTATATTTTTGTTCTTGTTTTATTACATCTACAATGTTAATTTTACCAGGAAACCATCATATATTTCAAGCACTACTTTTTAATAGGTTTCTCACATTCTAATTAATCTTTCACATGAATTGAGTATCATTGAGACGTGCTCATAATACATGTATTGTATAATTATATAAGTTTTTTGTAAACTGTGGAACAAATAAACTTGAAAACTTGAAACTTGATTGTGATATTTTTTTTTTTACTATATATCAATTTGTTTATTTGTCTACCCTGTAAATACAAGGCTCTCTTGCAAAGCAGTTTTATGTACTGAAGAGACTATCCTGTACGAACAAATATATAACAAAAAACAGAATAAATAAATAAATTCAATTATCCCTTTTATTTTCAGTGAGTGGGACTAACTTTCTTTACATTTTCAAACGAATTCATATTTCCATCTCTTTACACTTTTACAATAATTTTACAATCCAATGTTTCTTTTTTAATTATACCACTGCTTTGTTTTTATTTGATGCCATGATAATAATAATAATACATAATAATAATAATATGTCTTGTTTACCCAGGGTAGCCTCATCAGTATTCATACTGTTCTCCCTGAAGGCCCTGCAATCATATTATTACCCCGGTCATCGGATTCAGGCTTACCTGCACACAATGTATGCACATTCTCCTCTCCCTGGGGAGCATTCCAGCCAGGCGTCATTTTTACAAACGCACACTTGCTAATCTAAGCACATTAGCTTTCGCATCCTACCGGGTACCCATTTAACACCTGGGTGGAGAGTGGCAAATGTAGATCAATGTCTTGCCAAAGGACATTAGTGCCGCGGTGGGACTTGAACCGCGGACATTGTGATCCACAGTCTGGTGACATATCCACTCGTCCACGACACCTCTACTTATTAGAGAATAATACTCGATAATTCTTCCATACGTATTAATGAATCTTTCCAATACTTGAAATCGAGTGTGTAAATTGGGGATCTATAGCATTCGATTTCATCTGGCCAAATCTTTTCAGATATTTTTCTCCAAATTCCACGTTTTTATGAGGAAGGAACGAAACTACTCTCAAGTAATAGTCACGCTCTGCTTTCAATTCGAGAATATCTCTCAACTTCATGGAATGATACGAGAGTAGAATAAGATGTGATACTACTGGGAGTCAAGGAGGGAGGAAGTTATAGACAGAAGAAGAGGAGAATTTGCTTCTTGACTCTTCTGTTTTGGCCTGTGGACTGTCTTAAGGCATTTGAAATCACGCATATTGTGAAGTCTGATTTGATTTGATTTGATTTGGTTTGTTTTACGTCCACGCAATGACTATACTAATACATTTTAAAGAATTAACTCCATCGAACATCCCATGAAAGCTGCTCTTAATCTTATTTCCAAAGTTATCAGTATTAAACTCTGCTACATGATT